CAGGGGGCCGAAACAGAGGGACAAAGGGGAGAGAGAGAGGGAGTGACATGCAGCAAAGGGCCACAGGCTGGAGTTGAACCCGGGCCGCTGCGGCAACAGCCTTGTACATGGGGCGCCTGCTCTACCACTAAGCCACCGACGCCCCAGTGTGCTAATTCTTGTCTCGTTTGTGGTCTGATAACCAGAGAAAGAGAAAACATAGCAAGGAGGGACTGAGTGAATTCACTGCAAGCAACTCTTCAGTGACATAAGACTAAATACATCAATGTTTGATAAACAATACACTGCAAAATGTTTGGCTCCATAAAATCTTGGTCATAAATAAAAAGAAAACACTGAAAAAAATCACCATCGGCTTATAGAACTTTTTATTTATTTTTAAAATCCCAAATAACAAAACAATATGGCCTTAAAACAATCAGTATCTGCCAGGTTACATTCTCAACAAGTGCTGAAATAATTTAATGTTTGCTAAACATTACAGGGACTAGAGCTGATTATGACCACCTATAATTAGCTGTGTCTCTTAATCCCGTCTACTGTGATGAGTCTTTTAACATTTAAAGAACATTTCACTGTCACTGACCCCTGTAATCCAGTTGTTATGGCCTTTCTCTGCTAATTATCCAGCCTGTATAAATATTAATAACCAAACTACTGGACCAACAACAATTCCTTATTAGAAGCAACACCCTGGAGCAAATGGCTGCAACACACAAACAGCAGTGATGTACAGCCTCACACCACTGGCCTCTGAGCAGCTGTTAGTGTCTTTCACAAGGACGTACCTGGGAGCTGCTGAGCACCTTCCCCTTCAGTCTTTTCCCAATTCATTGTTTCCGTCTTTATTACCTCTCCTTCGCCTCCCTCCTCCCGTCCTCACTAACCTGTCCTCATCTCTCTTCCTCCCTCCTTATCTGGTGTGTCCTCCTCTGTTGTCCTCTTCTCTCCTTCACCTGTCTTTAATCTCTCTTTTATCTTCCAAAATAGTGTTATCTTCATTTTCACATTCTCACCCTCTTCCCTCCTTACTCCCGTTTATTTCCGTCCTCCCCTCCACGTCTCTTTGACAGCTTGTCTTCCTAAACTTTCTCCCCTTCTTCCTCTCCATCTGTCTCTCTTCCCCTCAGTCTTCCTCTCCAGCATGTCCTCGCGCTCTCCCCCCTCTGGTCTGTCTCTCCTCTCTCTCCCTCTTCTTTTATCTCTGCCTTGTTGTCAAGTGGTGACTCACTAGAGGCGAGCGGCCAAGGATCTGGCCTACACACAGACACACACACACACATCATGATCAGCCAAGAGTACAGCATGCAGGCCACATGCTGCACGTACCACACACTTATGCACACACACAAAGACACTGTTGAGGGCCAAGGGTATGGGAGACACGTTAGACACATACACGCTAACACACACACACACACACACACACACTCTATGCTCTGTCAGCCAAGTGAAGAGCAGCAAACAGTCTATTGAGTCACACCGGTGGAGCAGAAACATCAAGTGAAACCGCCAACACGCGCGCACACACACACACACACACACACACACACACACACACACACACACATACACATACGGAGCGTCTGTTTTGACACCCAGTAGTGATTAACAGCATCAGTGTGCTGTCGTGTTTCTCTGGATTGTATTGCATTAAAACAATACTAAATGCATTTGTATTATGTAAACATGGATACTTTATACTGCAACCTGTTGCTCTATTGTCTATTGATAATTTTCCTACTAATATAAATGTGCTTGGTGTACCTTTAAATAATTAACAGGTTCTCTCTGTGTTTACTGTATCCTCACAATCATAAGGTTTTATAAGTTCTTTCAGACACATATGTCCTTATCAGTGTAAAAACACACGTCAAAGTCTCCTTGGGCAAGATATTGAACCCAAAATTGCTCCTGATGGCTGTTCCCTCAGTGTGACAGTGCAAGTGAATGTTTACTGAGTAGCAGGTGGTACTATGTATGGTAGCCTTGGCCACCAGTGTGTGAATGCGTGAATGTGACATGTAGCGTTAAAGCACATTGAGTGGTCAGAAAACTAGAAAAGCGCTATACAAGTGCAGACCTTTTACCATTACAACATATTCGGGGATTGGGGGAAGAGCAGTACCTTGTTTCAGTTTGTGGGCTTAGTAAATGCCAATATAATTAACATTTTAAATCAGTTAATCGACATAAATTTGTACATAAATTACTCAAAACACAATGAAGGGTGGGAACATTACTAATCACAAACATATGAATTGCATCATTAAATGCCACCTCAAGCTAGTTCACTTTATTTTACTACAACAGCACCACAAGTGGGCTGTGTATAGTGAAGTAGAATTAGGCTCAAAAAATGGCTGTTTTAATATCATCTGTGCACGTATGAAACCTATGTGCTGGGTTACAGTTTTCAGCAGTGGTGCTGTATATTATTGTCATCTCATAGATTTTCCCTGATGATGTAATTGTCAATCACAACAGTTAGTCTGCTGCAACATTGAAAATTAAACTGTACAAAGTCAAATTTGTCTCATTTTTGTTGTTAAAGTTTTGAAATGCCTTTTTGATGTTTTAATATGGTTTTACAGATGTCAGGTTCTCAGAAATGTTGCTATTTCAAAGTACAAATATTGGACTTTTACTTTGGAGTATATCTAAATATATATATTTTTTTTTTTCCAGCAACCCCAAATCAAAGACTAAAGGCATTTCTCCCACAATTCAGTGGAATTTTCTTTTTTAATTTACAAGTGACACGGGTAACAGATTTTATACTTCTTGTGAATATAATTTAATATTATTTACCCATTTCATGGGTCCTTAAAAAGTCTTAATAAGCATTGGATGAATTAATGCAAAAATAAGGCCTTAATTGGTATAAAAAATATCTTAAATGGATCTTTCAAAAATCTTAAAAATGCTCAGACATTGAAAGTAGGATTTTAAGATTTTTTTTGTTTGTTTATTTTATTTTATTTTTTAACAATTTACTGAATGCCTCTTACATTAAATCCAGCAGATCAGGATAGTCGAACACACATACATTTGTCATGTCCCATCAAATAAACGAAAGACTCTTTTTCTAACCAGATGGATACTTTGATGATAATATAAAATGATTGTTTTCCATGTGTTCTGCTCTAGAAAGCGTTAAAATCTTTTCAACATTTCAAGTAGATCATCTAACTTTCTAACCTGATCAAAAAAGTTAGATGTTTTATGTTACAGTATACGTTTGGGCAAAATTGTTCCTAACCCTAAATAATTTGTTGGCTCATGTTTTTTTCCTTTGATTTTGGTAAAAATCTTGTTTCCAGTGGTATTAAAAGTCTTAAATCTAGTTTGCCTTAAGCTGTAGGAACTCTTATACATATAT